ACAATACTGAATCAAAGGGAGGCAAAGCCTTTAAAGTGACCTGTGGCAGACACAATAACCCAAGAAATGAAAGAAAGGTAGACGTTTGAAGAGCTGTTTGTAAGTATATATAATAACAATTACAAATATTTACAGTAATCATTTCATCTTGATTCAGCAGAGAGAGGATTTGGTCCCATTTTTTGTTAAAGCAATTCATTCAGACTGATTTTCGGTTGCAACAAAGAAAAATCTTAAAAGTTTTGCTTTCGGAACTGAGGCAAAGAGGATTAGCATAGCTAGAAAACTGCTTTGGTAAAACCTAATTTACAGTACAACCCAACAAAACAGCTGAATAACCTAGTTATTTAGTCTCTAAGTAGTATTTCAAGAGTAATACTGATAAACCAAACAAACGGTAACATGTTTCAAGTGGCATCTTTCTCCAAAAGAAGAGTCTCTTTGGTGGGCAACTAGCCAATCCTTTTAACTAAGTGCAAGTCGTTTTTAGATAGACTGGAACTGATTACTTGCATAAATATGTTGCATAGAGACTTGATTATCATTTTTATGGATTAAAGACGTAGTAAAGATTGTCTAGCCAGATCTCAGATGACCTGCAATGTGTCTCGAGTGGTATCCGAAGTAATTGTTTTGTTTTAAAACTGCACAGCAGCAACGTTTTCAAGATGTGGTTTCTTGCAGGATGTGTTTCTGAATTTGGGTGAAGGTTACTAGTCCGAATTTTTGGGAGAGGTTAGTCTCTACCGATCCAGTTTTCCCTAGCAGATTCTGTGCCAGATCCCAGGAGAGGTGGATTATGACGTGTGTCTTTACTCGGTGCTCTGTTTGAATGAACTTCCATGCATCTTCAATTTATGCAATCTGCCAGTGTAAAGTGCAAAGGGTTTAGTCAAACAAAACTCACCACAACAAATAAAACAGGAACATAATAACTGAGCAGGGAAGGCCACTTTTAGAGGGCCGTGTCAACAGATCGGGTGGACAGCAAGTGGAAATTTACCTCTGGTTTTTGCGGCTCGACTGGGCTTCTTTGTCTTTCACGAAGACCACGGCCTCACCTCCACGGGAAAGGTAGGAAAATTCACCTTCTTTGGCACTGAAGATGATTCTGGATTAAAAAACACAAACATTTTGAATTCTGCACAAGTTTTAAAGGTATAAAATAAAAAACAAAAATAAAATGTGTTGCAATAAAAATGCACAATATAAAAAAAGAAAGATATATATATAT